TTCCAGAATTTATAATCCTACTTCCAGAACTTTTTTTTGAAACGAGAATTGCAACATTTTTTGAGGATGTTGATTTTGGAGGGAGAAATAAAGAAAGAAACATTGTCTTTAAAGAGGAACCAAGTAAGGATGATTCGGTTCTCATTCCTTTTGTTGTTTCTGATAGCGTACAGACTCCAGTTGCTCCTGTCACTATTCAAGATCCAATTCCAGACAATGCTATTCTTCCTTAAGAACAAATTCAACAACCTCAAGAATTAGAGTCTGTTCAAATGCCTTTGAGGAGATCTACTAGGGAGAGAAGAAGTGCTATTCAGATGGATTATCAAGTAGGTGTTTCTTCAGGAACATGAGGATCAACTGTAGACAATGATAGATGATTGATCCAGTTGTTTTTCTTATCATGCCCAATGCAGAGTTCTGAGACTCTCATAAGTTGGAATTGGGAGGCAATTGAACGAAGAGTGTAAGTCTATGGCAGAGACAATCCAGTTTGGGATCTTGTTCAATTACCTGAAGATTGGGATCTTGTTCAATTACCTGAAGGAAAGAAACCCATTGGTTGCAAATGGATATTTAAAACCAAAAGGGATTCTCAAGGTAATGTGGAAAGATATAACGCACGTCTTGTAGCAAAAGGCTTTACTCAAAAGGAAGGGACTGACTATAAAGAAACCTTCTCTCCAGTTTCTTCGAAGGATTCTTTTAGGACAATCATGGACTTAGTTGCAAATCTTGATCTTGAGCTTCATCAAATAGATGTTAAGACTACGTTTCTCAATGGCAACATTGATGAAACAATATATATGGTGCAACCAGAAAATTTTGTAATTGGAGATCCAAAACATCTGGTATGCAAATTAAAGAAATCCATTTATGGACTCAAGCGAGCTTCTCGTCAATGGTACTTTAAGTTCAACTAAGTAATTGTCTCGTTTGGCTTTGAGGCAAACTTTGAAGGCAAAATGCTGTGAAAAATTGGCTGTGTACCATAAAGATTTCAGTGGAGTAGGTTTATGTCTTTTTGGTCTTATATGTGGAATAACATACTTCTTGCTACTAATTGTAAAGTCTTGCTTGCATGAAACCAAACAGTTTTTTGCTTTCGAAGGGCATTATCTATGAGATGAAAGATGCTTAGGGTTGAAGCTGATGCTTTTAGTTTTAGGGATATACAGATACATCGGAGAACCCGGTTCTCGGAGGTAGAGGTGTGTACTACTGGATTAGTCGCGAAGAAGAGCTAGTATTCGGAATGAAAGGGTGCTCCACAGAGATGTAGGTATCCAGATTCCGTTATGACCAATTGGATACCCCTATTCGCGAAGGCGAAAAGGGTGAATAGAATCTTTAGAGTAATATGGCACAACAATGTCCAAGAGGAGTAATGAACTTGAAAATTCAGGACAATGCAGAAAGTTCCTTCTATGGCGCGGTCAGCTCTGATAGAGAAGTTCTTAATGCTAGTGTGTGCAAGGTTTATATACTGCGGAGGATGCCAGAACTATTTCTTTTATAGTTGGCCACATGTATAGGATAGGTAGGATTTCGGATAAGCAATGCACACGGAATGGGAGTCATGGTGGAAAGCAGGCCAAATGGAACAGTCATGACGATATACTTGTCAAGAGGACTAAGGGATCATTGAGAGCTGCTACGCACAATAGTAGGTAGGAGGATACGAGGAATACGCAGCATTGAGAGAGTATACATACGAGGTATGAGCTAGTGGGATGTCCTGAATGTTTTTGCTGATATAGGAGATCAGATCAGCTTGAGATCATTGGGTATACTGATTCTGATTTCGTTGGATGCCAAGACAGTAGAAAATCCACATCTGGCTACGTTTTCTATTGGCTGGCGGTGCTATTTCTTGGAAGAGTGTGAAACAAACTCTAGTAGCAACCTCTACCATGGAAGCTGAATTTGTAGCATCTTATAAGGCATCCAATCAAGCTATTTGGCTGAGAAACCTTGTCAATGGGCTGCGTGTAGTAGGTGGAATAGAAAGACCACTGAAGTTGTATTGTGACAGCAGGTCAGCCGTTTTATTCTCCAACAACAACAGGAGCTCTTCTCAACAACAACAGGAGCTCTTCTCGATCAAAACACATTGACATTAAGTTCTTGGCTACGAAGGAGAGGGTACAGAGTGGACAGATATCCTTAGAGCATATTGGAACAAACTCTATGATTGCGGATCCGCTTACAAAGGCAGTGATACCGAAAGTTTTAAGTTTTCCATGCAGCACACCGCTTCATATGGGTATCTTTTTTGTTTGAGACTGTCTAGTTTTAGTGGGAGCTTTGCTCTTTATGTTTGCATCTATGTATCTTAACTTTAAGAAGCATAGCACCTTCTCTGTCTCATTTGCTAAGAATATGTTAGTACTCATAGTTATGAAACTCATATATTTGATCCCGAAAAGTACTCAAAGATTTTTAGCTTAGTGAAATGGTACAACTCATGTATTATTATTATTGTTTTGCTTGATTCTCACTTTTGTTGGTGAACCAGTTGGGAAAAGACATTATGATCACATTGCATGTAGTTCTCATGCTACACTTCATATAATGAATCTTATCTGGTTCATTAGAGATATTGGTTAATTGTAGTTGATGATGCAATTAGTCATGGAGATATATGGCGAATGTTTCTCTCAGCTACTTTATCAATATAACTAATGGACGAGATTGTTTTTGGATACCTTTGGTATGACTGCGGTTTGTTTGAGCTCATTTTTGGTGTATGTATTTATTTAACATATGTTCGCCCAAGTGGGAGATTGTTTGGATTTAATTTTTCTATTTGTGGGCTTATTGTGGGCTTAATATGTAAAATTAAATATGTACAACAGTCCAATTGTAAAGTCAATTTCAAATGTGGTCTTGATTGTGAATAATTGACTATTGAGGTGTCAACTAATTATAGATATTAAGTGGAGAGACCATTATATAATTTCTATTTCGTTAAAGGACTGAAATAGGAATTGTACTAACCCTACAGGTATATAAAGGTCCTGGTCCCCAGAAGAGTTGAATACGATTCAGTTTTACGTTCCTTTCGTACTGCTTCCGCTAAATCGATTCTTCAATTCTCTGGAAGGCTGCAAACCTAAACAACCTATCAAGATCGACAAACAACGATGCAGGTAAGGGGGGGGCAAAAAACCCCCCCCCCCCCTTTTCTTATTCAAAAATCTATTTTGTTGAATCTAGTGATTTAGCAAACAACGATGTCAGGTACGCAACCTTTTTCTTATTCAATCTATTTTGTTGAATCTAGTGATTTGCACGATCTAGGTTATTGTGGAATTATTTGAGATTAATTATTAACACCTAAGACTTCCTCTTTCTCTATATATACATGGAACCCATGTTGGAAATAAGATAACATTATACAATGAGAGGAAGCTTTGCTTGTTTAAGTTGATATAAAAAAAGGAAGCTTTCCATTTTAGCCTCTTTTTTTCTTTCAGCTCCTGTTTCAGAAAGGAAGTTGGTATACATATTGATTTGTATACGAGGGAAGGAAGGAGAAACCCGAAAGAAAAGCTGCTGACTAGAACGCAGGAACCTTAGACGGGCCACACCTTGACGATCCCACCTCAGCAAATCGATAACCTCCGGTAAGTTTATAGTGTTCCTTTCTTGTTTTAATTTCATTTTTTTTATCACTCTCTATTTATTACACTAATGTACAATCATATGCAAAATTTAATTTTTCATGAATTAATGAGATTGCTAGACTTTTTAAAAATAAATAAACCATGACTAATTTTGGTGCATCCTCATAGTTAATATATATGAATTGTATAGGAATTTCAATTATATGTGTTATTAAATATTAACATGCCAATCTATGGGATATATCGGGTTCTTTAAGCAGGAGATTGAGTGTTTAATTCTTATGAACGAAGAAAATTTCCACTAGGATCAATTTTCTCTTATTGGATTGATGGAATGTGACCAGAATTAGACTTAATTCAATGGACTAGAAATACCCGTGGTATGAACCAAAATATTAACATATCATATAATTAAGACGTGTCTTTTTAATTTAATTAAATAATAAAAGAAAATTTATGCGGGTATATATAATTACTTTTTTATTTTAGTAAAACAAAAATTACGATTTATTTTTCTCCTGTTTAAGTTATATAAGCATATATACTAAACTCTTTTTAGCCCTTTTAATTAAACAAATAAATTTTAGCAAGTTTCTAACAGTTTCACAACATAGTATGTGTTTAGATTTTTAAGATTTTTTTTTTCTGGAAAAAAAAAAATCATGAGCACACTCGATAAAAACAATGATCATTTGATTACATAACTTTATAATGAAAATAATTTCCCTCCTTTTTTTTTTTTTTTTTTGAAAAAATTGGAAAAGTTGCTTTTTGGTCAGATGAATAATTATTTGTAGAATACAGCTATTATTTGCCAGAGGCACAGTATATTTTTATCTGTGCCTACGTCCATTTTTATTTACTACTCTAGACTCTAGAGTACATACAGACTTTCTATCTTAGCCTTTAAATAGGTTGACACAACTAAATCATGTTATCGAGATCAACGGTCCTAGATTGCACTTCAAAAATCTACGTGTTAAAGTAGTAGCTAGTAATTGTATACATTAACAACTCTTACATGACTATAACCCCACCAGGTGTGTTCCACAAACAGACGATTATAGCTCTGTCTTCTTCGATTAAACAAATAGTATAATGAAATTAACTTTAAAAAAAAAAAAAAAAGAAAACTTAATTTCCAAAAGCTTCCCTTTTAGTGTCTAAAATGGTGGAGCAGGATTACTCAGCTTGATGGACTGGCGACACCTTGTCTACCCCCGAGAAGTTAATTTAATTCAATTGATTTATCTTTTCTTGAACATCCTTAAAACTTGTTTCTGGTTTCTTGTTTCTTGTCTTGCAGGTATATAATATTACAAGCTTCGGTAAAACTCTTTCTTCAATTACAAGTTAATTAAACCCTAATTCATGGATATTTACAAGGAAAAGGTCAGTTTATTTTACAAGGCAAAGTCCATAGCTTCATCTCTTTTTGGAATAGTATTATGGTCAGCAATCTTATCAGCTCCCAGGCAAATCTCAATATCTTCTGGTCTTAAAACCCTAGTTTACTCACAGAGAGAATCATCATCTCAGTTTATTGTCCATTCTTATACGATATCACCACCACCATCGTCATCATCACTCTCAACATCAGCATCACTGTCAATGTCTCTGTCCAGTAGTTTTTGCTCTTCTTGGTCTTCTATGTTGGACGATTTGATCGGAACAGATAGTGGAGTGCATTTAGACCCCAGTGAAGAAGAAGCAGAAATTCCAAGAATGGAGAAAATGGAGAAGTATAGTAATAAATGCCACAATCTTGGAAAGCGAAATCAAGAATTATGCGAAATGAAAAAGAAATATCCACCGCCAATTCCTTTACTAGCAAGAACGTCCAATTTGGATGGTCACATGCCTCGGATTTTAACAAGGCACTATTGTGATGGAAGATTAATCCTTAGAGAGGAGAAAGTAAAGCATCATGAATATTTTGAAGCATATAGAGAAAATGGTACTCTTATCTTGAAACTTGTACAGTTAAATGACACAGTTGAATGTTGCCATTCTTGTAATTGCGAGAAAAAAGAGGAGATAGAGATGCAAGATCTTCAACTTATGGAAGAAGACGGGAGCCAAGAAGATCAAGAAAGTAATAATCTAATGGAGACCTTTTCAGAATCTTGCTTGCCTAAGTCATATTATAATAACTTGGAGAATGGAAGTGAAATGATGATATCGGCTTCTTATTTATCATGCAATATTGCCAGTGCTCATAGAAATAATCAATCGGCTACTGCAGCTGCTAATTTGGCCTTTACTCGTCCAATGGCCGCTGTGGTTTAGCTTTTGATTACATCGGTTTATTTGATTAGTCGAGTAGAATTTAAAATTCATTTATTTATAAATCCATGTGTGTAAATGCTTGTAAATTTTAATATTTTTTAGTGCAAATGGATTTCAATACTCATTCGCAAATTGCAAAATATAGAATATGTGTTTTTTTTTTTCATATTTGATAATTGATATATAGGTCTTTTCATATTTGAACATAACATAACCAAGCTTTAATCTTAATATGCAATGTTTTTCTATCCAATTCTTTTTTTTTTTTTTTTTTTTTTTTTTCTATCCAATTCTTTTTTTTTTTTTTTTTTATTAAATTGAGTTTTTTTTTTTTTTTTTTCCCCTTTGAGCACCGGAAAAGACACAAAAAGGAACAGATTTTTTTTTTTTTTTTTTCCCCTTTGAGCACCGGAAAAGTACACAAAAAGGAACAGAAGGACTAAAGGGTTGGATGAGGTTAAAAGTTAGAGGTATAATCATATATTTGAAAAAAAATTAAGGATCAAGTAATGTATTTTACTAACATTGAGGGATGAAATAGTATTTTTTTTTCCTCCATAAAAAAATTAAATCGCGTAGCGGCGTGGAAGATGACGAAGAATGTTTATTTTTTGGTCAAAGAAATGCAAATGGGAGTTTCTGGTTCACATCAACCTGCCCTTTTAACATTCTTAGTGGTCAGAAACAATGACTTTTCATTTTTTTAGCCCCTATCCTATGAAATGTTGACCTCTCACCTACCATTTTTCATGAAATTTTACTATATTTTTAACTTTTATTTTGATTCACTGAATATTTAAATTTAATTTGACTCATTAAATATGTTAATTAGTAAAATTAGGTCAATTAAATATTTATAATGCAATAATATGAAAACTATTATTTTGGAAGTCATGTCAATTAGTTATTAAATCACTATTTTACATATCAAAATAAAAACATTAAAACTTCGTAATACTAATACAAAAAGATCTGAGATTTTTGTAAAAAATAAAATTCAAATTGCCACAAATTCGATATTAAAGTTTAAAATGTCATAAAACTTTTTTGCTGAAATCTAAGAGTTAAATTATGTGTTCAACTATGCATATATTCTGAACTAATTATAATGAAACATGAATTGACATTCATCAATACAGTTCAAAGATTAAATTTATTGATTCTTTCAAGAATGAAGCTCTGAACTAAAAATATGTATAAAAACTAACTAATTCAATTTAATTCAGTATAATTTTTCAATTTCCTTATTTGTTTTAAATTTTTAAAAATCAAATTAAATTATTTTATTTCATTTTTTTTATAAAAATTAAAAGCAAACATGATAATTAAAATCAAATTTAATTTACACATCAAGACATAGACCAATGATAAGTGCGTACACGATCTCGTAATAGATCCAGAATAATGCCAGCCTAGCTAAAACATTACGTTCTATAATGTAGTTAAAATATAAAAAAAAAATCCATGAATTTGAAAAAAATTTTTTAAATGAAATTAAGCTATTCAAATTAATAAAAAAAATGGAAATCTCTTTCCCTCGTATTTCCCTCCCCTCCTTTCCCTTTCCCACCAAACAGGTTGTTAGAGCCCAATTATCATTTAGTGGGCCGAATAAAAAGAAATCTGAGTCCACACGCAAACCCGAAAATTGATCAACGTCTCTGACCCCTTGTTGGTTACGAGTCCAAACATCATTTTCCAACTGCTTTAATTCCAATCCACGTGGCATCCCTCAACCACCTTTATAACATTAAAACCATCAGGCACCGAGAAATTAATATTATTCAAACAAATGGAAAATACCAGTAATTGTAATCAAGTCAAGCGTGAAAATTAAACTGGTATTATCCAATAAAAAACATGAAAAAAATGTTTGTAGTCAGATACACCTGCACTGTTTATATCACTGATATTTTTATAGGGAAGCTTTGATTTTTCTTTTTCCTTGATGAATTATTCTCTCTTCATTCTCAGCTTCAATCAGGTGAATAAATCTTGAACCCAATCTTTTCTTTTCTTGATTCTTTCTTTTCTGTTTAAGATCTGTTCTCCGTTAATGTAAATTCTGCTAGAGTTTCGGTTTTTCTTTGAATTGTTAGGAGAGATGGTGTTTGATGGGTAATTTGTGTTAGTGGTGTTTTTTTTTTTTTTTTTTTTTCTTTTTTTTTTTTTTTTGGTTAATTGTATTGTTGATGAGAATTTTATGATCAAATGGGTTTTTTGACTTGTTCGAAGTAAAGTGACGTAAACGTTTTTGTTTTTTTTTTTTTTTTTTTTGGTTTATTGATTTGATGAGAATTTTATGATCAAATGGTTTTTGACTTGTTCGAGTAAAGTGACGTAAACGTTTTGTGTTGATGGGTCAATTTTTCTTTAGTTTTGGAGGATTCTGGAGATATATACTGTTAGACTATTTTACTCATTTGTGTGCTAAATTGTATTTTGGTGGGTGGTAATGTTCAGTGTCTGTTTTTCTCTAATTACGCGAGTTACTTGTATGTGGAATTGGGTTTTTAAGGAGATGTAGAGTCGGATTTTAGCATTGATTAAATGTTCTGAACCGAAATGCAGTACATGGAGTAATTGGGAAATTTTGGAAAGTGAAATATTTGGGTGAGATTGATACTCAAAACCAAGTTCCCAGAAGGAATAATTGATTTTTATTTATTTATTATCATTATTATTATTATTTTGGTGCAAGAGTTTCGAGACTCTTTCCTTCAATATGTAACTGACGCCTTTTTCTTTTTCCTTTTTTACTTTTCCTTTTTTTCTTTTTTCAGCATTCTTGAAGTTCATATTTGGAAATTTTTAAATGGGAGCTATTTTGAGTTTGGCTAGCACCAAGTATAGGACAAACCAATTTGATGAGGTCTCTTGTGATGCCAGTTGCAAGAGGCAAAAGAGATCCTTGAGCTTTTGTGAGGAGAGCCCAAGATTGATTCCAAGTCTTCCTGATGAGTTGACAATCCAGATTCTTGCTAGAATTCCCAGAATTTACTACTTAAATCTGAGGTTGGTGTCGCAGAAGTGGAATGAAACTATTATGAGTCACGAGCTGTTTAGATTGAGAAAGGAACTTGGGTTGACTGAAGAATGGCTATATGTGTTGACTAAAGTTGAAGAGGAACTTTCGTGGCATGCTTTGGATCCTTTGTCGAGAAAATGGCAGAGGTTGCCTCCCATGCCTAATGTTTATACAGAAGAATCTCGGAGCAGTTCTTCTGGGCTTTGGTTGTGGAACATGGTTGGACCACGTAATAAAATTGCTGAAATTATAAGGAGTTGGATTGGCCAAAAGCACACGTTGGATCACATGCCATTTTGTGGTTGTGCCATTGGTGCTGTTGATGGATGCCTTTATGTGCTTGGTGGACTTTTTAGAGCTTCAACAATGAGTTGTGTCTGGCGATATGATCCATTCCAAAATAGGTGGAGTGAAATGTCGCCCATGTCTACAGGGAGGGCTTATTGCAAGACTAGTATTTTGAATAACAAGCTATATGTTGTCGGAGGGGTTAGTCAGTTTCGAGGATCGCTGATTCCTCTTCAGTCTGCTGAAGTTTTTGACCCTTGCACTGATACATGGTCCGAAGTTCCAAGCATGCCATTCTCAAAATCTCAACAGTTCCCCACTGCCTTTTGGGCAGACATGCTAAAGCCTATTGCTACTGGGATGACTTCATACATGGGAAGATTATGTGTCCCTCAAAGTTTATACTCGTGGCCATTCTTTGTTGATGCTGGGGGAGAAATTTATGATCCAGAAACCAATTCATGGGCTGAAATGCCCACAGGCATGGGAGAAGGTTGGCCTGCACGTCAGGCAGGTACAAAGTTGAGTGTTGTAGTAGATGGTGAATTATATTCATTTGATCCCTCTAGTTCTCGAGATAGTGGTAAGATCAAGGTTTATGATCAAAAAGAAGATGCTTGGAAAGTCATTATAGGAAAAGTTCCTATTTATGATTCTTCAGATTCTGATACTCCGCATTTGCTTGCTGGTTTTCATGGAAAAATTCATGTCATCACAAAAGATGCCAATCATAAAATTGTAGTCATGCAGGCTGGTCTGCGTGATCATTTTGGTTCTTCAAATTCTCATTTTATTGGATCCTCGCAAGAGGAGCATTTTGCCCCGTCGACTGAATCAGAAACAGTAGTGTGGAAAGTTGTTACTAGTAGAGATGTGGGATCTGCTGAACTTATAAGCTGTCAAGTTCTTGATATTTAGCAGTATATTAACTGCTGTGCTTTAGTGTTTAGTTAAGATATTGATGTTGTATAACCTCTAGAAATGGCTGCTACTGAAAGACTTTCTGTTCTGAGAACCTAATGAGGCAGCTGTGTGGATTTGGTTAACTTAGGTACAAGATCAAGAATATCATCTGCAAGCCTGTTCGGTATCCTGTACTCTGTGTGGCCTTCGTATCATCTTTGGATGCTCTTATTTCTGACAAAAATTGTGCATGCGGGTGATATTCAAATCTGGTGAGTTGGAATGGGTGCAGTTTAGGTGTGAACGAAGTGAGCATTATATTATCCTAATTAGGACAGAGTATTATGTTGGTTCTGTAATTAGAAATTTATTTTACCATTCATGTAGTTCTATGTGAAGGTTTTCTGTATAACAAATATTTATATGATAGCTTCTATCAGTTCGAAATATTATACAAGGAAGACAATAATCTGTATCAGATTCAGAAGTCAAAATTCTCTAATTTATATATCAAATACTAGATGTTTTGTCACGTGCACTGCGAACTTGCTATTTCGACTTTACTCTTTAGCTAGCAAGTTGTATGCATACTTTGGCTAATTTTGCATGAAATGTGCTTCATAAAAGATCACATGTCTATTTTTTTTTTATTTTTGTTTGTTGCCTCTATTCTATTCATTTTATATCTCCATATTTGCACACATTTCTTGCTTTGTTCATGATAAATGACATCGAAGTTTCTTTGTGGATTTGGGACTTCTGGTGTGTGATGATGAACAAAATTAAAATTTTCAGTTGAGTTACCCCTCCGGCAAATCTTTCAAATTTTGTAGTTTCACATTCTAAGGTTGATTACTTCATGACATTGTTTGAGACATTTTACTGTGATGTATTAACTGTATTTTCAAGCAAAAATCAGCTATTGAAAGGCAACTAGAAATCCCCCAGTAATCATAGACTGTAACAGTTGTCTTGTTGAGACTGCATTTTTGAGTGTAATATCTAATATGGAGCTAATACAAGAGGTACTACTCTTATCAAATATTTATAGTTCGGATGGATTTGTAATAGTATGCATATGGATGCATATCAGTGAACAGAACTACGAAATAGTGAGAGCCTGTACAAGTTGTCTAGTGGAAACTCCATTGCGCTTCGGCTGATACTAATCTTCAATGGATTCATTTTCATGTTGAAAATAAAGAGCAGGGCACAATGTTTGAACATTTGTCTATCCACTGGCTTAAGGTTCAGCAAAAGAGGTAACTAACGATCAGGTAAGCATTTTCATTTATTTCTTTTTTTTGTTATATGCTAAATCTTTAACCTGTGATTCTGTTGGGGATTATTTTCCATAGATTTAAGACCTGAAAAATATCTTGGTCAGATGATTTCTTAGTTATGCTCTTATTAAGTAATGTTATTCTGATTCTCTTTCATTCCAGTTCTGCTTTTTCCTAATGGTGGGCTCTGTAATGGAAATAAGAACTGGAAGTCAACTAGGCATAAGTGCAGATTTGATGGTTTGCATTTATTCCCGTGTGTCCATTTCCAGTCCAGATTCCACCATTATATGAGGAGCTTAGTACTGATAGATCAAAGTAGGTTGGTTGGTAAATCGTACTGTTAGCTAAGCTGAATGATAAAATATCATATAACAATTATATTTGCTTTGCTTGATGTCGGTGAAGATTGAGCTGTGAAGAGGTAACTCGTCCATGCAATATATATATATACACACACACACACACACACACACACACACACACACACACACCAATAAGTTTTGGTTTAGTGGTACTTTGTATCTAGAGGTATGAGGTTATGAGTTCAAACCCGCATTGGAGACTAATTAACCATGTACATTAGGAAGAGATGTCACTCACAAAGGATAAGTTGAGAAAGGAAATTTGAAATGATTTTTTCATATCTGCTGTAAATAACATGTGATTCCAAAAGGCAAAAGACAAAAAAAAATCCTAAAGAGACAAAATGGATAAAAAGATTCATTCTGCTGGATTCAACTTGTTAAGCAACTAAGTTAGTTTGTTCGAGCTCAGCAGCATGTCGTTGTCAAATTGTAAATATGGTTGTCGGAATGAAGGGTTATTTTTATTTGCAATTGCATGATGAATATAGAATGTGAAGCTATAGTTCTCTGCTAGATATTTAAGATCTTTCTGATTTGCTTTTCATTTTCTATTGCATTTCAATTATTGGTGGTGAGATTCTAATCTGATGAAAAGTTAAAAAGAAGAAGAAGAAGAAGATCAAGTGGTTGTGGGATGATAGTGGACAATTGATGTTGAAAGCTGAAAGGAGACATTTTTTATTGGCAGCTTCAAGTTGATGAAACTTTTTTCAGCAAGTATAAGGATTTAACGTTTGAGCAATTTTCAAGAAGTGACATGAAGTTGACGTACAAGCAGATTAAAAAAAAAAAAAAAAAAGGAAGGATTTAACGTTTTGAGAATTTTCAAAGAAGTGACATGAAGTTGACGCTACAAGCAGATTAAAAAAAAAAAAAAAAAGGTAAAAAAAAAAAAAAAAAAGGTGGGGTGGGGAAAAGCCGATTCAAGAAGATATGAAGTTGACGTACAACTCCCATCAGCTGCTACTTTTTCTCAATTCCAGGCAGGTAGATAAATTACTTGACTGAACTGAGATTTCTTGCTTAGTAGTGAGATAGGTTTTTAATATCTATTAGTTCATCTAATCTAATAATTAATTTTTTTAGATCATCTAGAAAATTTTTATTTCATTTATACATTTTAAAATTGCAATTTAATACTAATAGATATTTAACTGCTTAATATGTATATCTTCATTTTTTCTTTAATTTTTTGTTCTGCTATTCCTCTTTTGATTGCTTGAACATGAATGAAAAGCTAAATTATAATGCACCATTAGTCGTTTGTTTCTAATCTTTTTTAATGAAACCTTACGTGTTAATCGAAGTATAATCTTTTAATTAATACTATTTTTTTTTTCATTTTATCATCTACAATTATTTAATTAAATATAATTGACTGTTAATATGGTTCTATCACGTAAAAATTAGTATAAGAATAATATTATTCACTTATAATATGAATATTATTTTATTATGTATGGAATAAAGTTTTAGCATTATAAAAATATAAACAATATAATAGAAAAATCATAATTATATTTAATATTATTTAAGAATAAATTAATGAGTATACATAACGAGTAAATAACGAATAATAACAACATGCAATGCACTTGTTAAAAAAAATAATATATAAAAATGGTAAGGGTGGGGCAATATTAGAATTGCCAAAACGCTTCTACTAAGGATTGTCAAAAATATTATTACAGATTTTAATTTCATTGGTTGAAAATAGAGGTAATTTATTTTGATTGATCATATTAATTTTCTATTTAAATTATATTAAATAAAATCAGAAATTATATTAAATATGGTAAGAATAATAATTTTAATTTTTATTGGTTGAAAAAATAAAGGTAGTTTAATTTTGATTGGTATATTAATTTTCTATTTAAATTTAAATTCTATTAAATAAATTAAAAAATGATTATATACTAAATAAGGTATATATTAAATAATTAAGTATATATTAAATTACAGTAAGACTGCTAATATATTCAATTATTATTATAATTATTTACTAACAAAGTAACTTCTCCAAGTAACTTATTTTATAAAAAATAAAGATAATTTATTATTATTTATTAAAAAATATATCATAAGATCTAAGGTTTGATACCATATATTGGAATAATTTTTTCTAAAATAAGCAACCATAAAATTAATAAAATTGATTATATGTTCATAAACTTTAACAAAAAGTAATAAAAATATCAAAATTATAAAAAATATTCTAAAATAATGATTAATATATTAATTATTATAATAGCTAATACTGGATTCTCATATTTTAGTAATATAGACAATTTATGGTATTATATTATATGCGAAAAAAATTAACTTAATTAAGTAATTAAGTTTAAATTGTTTGATGAGTGTTTTTATTTCCATAAAAATTTGGTTGTCAAATTATAATAATATTTTTTTTATTATATATATTATTTACTTAACAAGTTATCTAATTACTGAATTTTTTATCTTATTATTTCATAAAATATTTTTTTTCTATTTTGTGAATGCTCTTAGATTTTGGAAAATAAAAATTATTCATAATATTATAATTTATCAAAAAAAATAATGAAATTTATATACATAAATTAAATTATATTTACTTGTAACATATAAAAATTTATGAGTACAAACAGCATGTAATACATGTATAATCTATAATGTACATATGAGAATGAGGGAAAAACATTGAGATTACCAAAAAAAAGCTCCTATTAAATTTATGGATCAATAAAAATATTATTAATAATTTTAATTTTATTAATTGAAAAATAAAATTAATTGAAAAAATTAAAAAATAATTTAATTTTGATTGTTATATTCAAATTTTCTATTTTAAATCTAAATTTTATTTAAGAATAAAATAAAAAATTAATTATTATATAATATATAAGTTATATTATTAAATACGGTAAGAAGTATAATACCTTTAAAAATTTAATTTATTGGTTGAAAAAATAAATATAATTTAATTAATTTAATTTTTATTGATTATATTAATTTTTTATTCTAATTTAACTTAAGGATAAATTAAGGAGTTATATTGTATACTATATAATATATATACTAAATATAGTAAGAATTAATATATTTAGGGATTATAATTTATTTATTGAAAAAATAAAGATAATTTAATTTTGATTGTTTATATTATAATATATAAGGTACATATTAAATATAATCTGAATAGGGGTAGCTCATTAGCAAAGATCACTCGTGAGGTTAATTATCATAACTTAAATCATAGGTTTGACAATTCATTAATTTTCTAAAAAGATATAGTAGAATGTTTAAATTCCGCTTCTTAATAGTAAATATGAAAATAAATGACACTTAATAAATATGAATAAAATTGAAAAAAAAATAATTTAGTTTCAAAATTCTAAATGAGTACTTAAAGTGGAACAATGTGAAATGTCTATTTGTTGCTATTAAAGTGGATAGAAAAATACAAATTTATCTTTAAATTATAGTCAAAATTAATATATAAGGATTTCTATTTTTAAAAACTAATTATGAAGTTCTTAAATCATGATTCTATTAACATTTTAGTCCTTTCGTCCAAAATAGCATATTGTGACTATTAATTGACTAAAAAAAAAAAAAATACTAAACTGACCTTATAAAAAAAGAATTTGAAGGTGTAAAAATAAATTGATCCCTAAATTATAGTCAAATTAATTATAAAGCCTCTAATTTATAATTTTTATTTATACTTTAATCCCTTTATTTTGGATAGAAAGACTAAAATATTAACAGAATTACAATTTAGGAACATCATATTTAATTTTTGAAAATAAAAATCCTCATATGTTAATTTAATAATAATTTAAAACCAAATTATTTTTTCCCTTATCGTAATTATCAATTTTCAAAGTAGGCATTTGAAAATTTAAATCATATAAATATTTTTTAATAAGAAATTATAATAATATTTATAAATCAAGTCTATAAAAATGCACAAGCTGCAGAATATAGGAAGATGATTCCTTAAAGTTGCGTGGAATCAACTCATCCCCTTGAAACAGTCTCATCATTTATATAATGACTACATAAATTTACATTAGATAAATTACTATTTAGTTCATCTAGTTTGTTAAAATTAACTATTTTGACCCTATCTTTTATAAAAATACATTAGTACACGGTGTGGTTAGCTTTTATTGGACTAGTTAAGTCCTTTTGTTCTAAACTTGTAACTTTTTACCATTAATTGTTACACGCTCTGTCTGTTTTATTTGCTTGTTATTCATTTTTTTAAATATTTCAAAATATTTAGAGAGTTTCTAAATCTATATATTTAAATAATTATTTTTCATAATAATATTTAGAATTATTCATTAAATGAAGTACTTTTATTAATATCTTAACAATTTAAAGGTAAAAAAAATATAAAATAATTTTTATTGATTAAATTCTTAATATGCATATTTTGATAAACTATGTAAATAAAATAGGACAGAGTGAGTATTAATAAAAGGATGAAAAAAAATTTTTAAACAAAAAATTAAGACACAATAAGTGATTCAAGTGATAAAACACACTTGATTTAGCTTTATAAGACAAATTCCAAAACAAAAATATTAAGGACCAAAATGATTTTAAGCCATGAGATGTATTTTTATATTTTTAAAAGAAAAATATTAAATAATTAATTTCACTAAACTACAAAAATCAAATAGCAAATATCCAATTGCCCAAATTAATTACTTAAAAAAAAAAAAAAGCTTATAGTATCCACATTGCTTGAGAAAAAAAATATTACGTGCATTAAATTATTGAAAACAAGAAAAAGATGGGGAATTCTTAATAAAATAAAATCAAGATTAGGAATTGGGAATTTTGCCTTTGCCAATAAAAATATTCTTTTCTTTTACCCTTTCAATAATTAAGACAAAATTAATAGCCAAATAATGTTTACAGATAATCAGTTGGTGGTGGTGTCTCATATATGAAACAATGTTAAGAGAAGTGTCGTTTTCAATTATCATTGGAATTTTCTGTTAGATTCAGGTAAAACCATCACTTTGAAAATTTCTCTATTTGGTTGCTCTCTCTCTCTCTCTCTCTCTCTCTCTCTCTGTTTCTTTCTTTCTACATCAAGCAATTCAAGAACCTGTTTGTCTTCTTTCTTGGCTTGCTCTTATACATTTCTCATTAATCACTGACAAATCCTCTTGTTCTTGGTTGTGGCATCAAGAAATAGGATCTAAGGGTTCAAAAAGCTATTTTCGATCAAAATTTGTTGAAAATAGTGTCTCTTTTGTGGTTTTGTTGTAAAGAATCACTTTCTTGATCTGGGTTCTTGGTGTTCTGCACTTTGATATGGTTTTCCATTGATAGTTGCTACTTTTCAGTGTTCTTTGCTGGGAATTTTTGTTAAAGAGGCTTAAAAGAGAGGATATCTTTGATCTTTTGGAGAGGTTTTTAGCCATATCTCGACGATTAGAATGAAATTTTGAGGTGGGTTTTTGGTGAAGTGATTTATCAATGGCTGGAGAAGATCTTATTGAGCTCAAATTCAGACTTGCGGATGGTACTGATATTGGGCCAAGCAAATATAGTCCAGCAACCTCAGTGCTAACTCTGAAAGAGAAGATAATTTCCCAGTGGCCAAAAGGTTAAAAATTTTCTTCTTTTTTCTTCACTCATATTTACCGTAGTTAATTTTATGTATCTTGAATTATTATTTGTTTTGACGCTTCTGATTACTGTTTGATATCTTCAATTCTTGGTTTTTGATTCGTTGCTTCAAATTTTGGATATTTGTATATCAATGTTTATTCTATTTCTTTAATCTTTATGATTGAGTATTAGTTGGGGTATTTGGTTGGAATCTTTGATTTTGAGTTTTCTTATTCTGACTTGCAGATATTAATTATCCTTTTTTTCTTTTCAAGTCATTTCATAAGTCTGAAGGTGTTACTTGTTCTTTGTTCATATTTGACTTTTTGACCTTTAAGCATCCGTTTTTACTCAATTCTAGATACCTTTTGTGAGATGAATCCTACAAGTATATTTAGATAAATATTACATGTAAAATTTGCTGAACCTGTTTAAGCAGTAATTATTGTCTGTAAAAACTTGCTTTGGTTCTAAAACAAATATTTCTAGATAAAAGCTGTTTCTGTTTTGATCTTATAGTTTAGCTTTTCACTATTTTTAATGTATTGATGTCACTTTGTTTTATTCTGATGTGCTTGAGCTCTTATTTTCAATTTTGTGCTTGGAAGTCTGAAGCTTCTCCTGTTAGTTTGTAAAATTGACTATAGATAGCTCTACAACCTACATGACACTCTGAAAAAAGAAGAAAGAACACAATCGAAATCTGCCTTGCTTTTAAGTCTTGAAATTTTGTAGATTAGCGATTACAAAATTTTGTTGTTATCTAACTGAATTAGATTTCCTAATGGGTTACCCTTTTTATTTTTCAGATAAAGAAACTGGTCCTAAGACTGTAAATGATGTGAAACTCATAAATGCTGGAAAGATACTGGAAAACAACCGAACGCTTGCTGAGTCCAGACTTCCAGTCAGTGAACTTCCAGGAGGTGTCATAACCATGCATGTAGTTCTGCGTCATCTCATGCCTGACAAAAATAGTGGTAATCCACATAGTATTTGATATCTATTATCCTGTCCATGTTTCTAACATTTAACATGTACATGAATTGATGTATCCGTGCATATCCTGGTGGTAATAATACATTTAAGATGGGGGTTCATTTTTCTTGATTAGTATAACCATCAAATCACTGATGTTTCATGTTAATACTCACGTGTGCAAATTGTGCATTTGTTTTAATGCAAAAATTGTCAGACTGATTAATCCAGAAAAAATATGAACTCAATTTATGCTGTATCTCCATCATTAGGTTATGTTGATTGACCTTATATAAGCCAAGAAAAAAAGGTTTTCCCTCCTATTTTCCAGCTCTCACACATATTCTCAAATGTCTGGTCGCTTTTCCCCCCTAGTGATCTTATACAATTATGTTTCTGTTGATTTTCTCTTTTCTTGTTATAAGTTAGCAGATTGTGCAGCTATGAACTCTGGATTACTGAACTTTTTCAGTTCATAGTATTATCTTTTTTTTTTTCACTGTCTCCTTTTCCTTTTTGGGTGTATTCTTTAAGGGCGGGAGATGGAAAGGCAAAGATTTAAATTATATATGAAGCATGCACCTGTTCATTTAACTTTTGATCCAGTGCACGCTGTATTCACTTTCATATTTACATTTTCAACAGCAATTTATGGATATAAGTTGCTTTATATGTTGAAAATAATATGAAGCACATGAAAAGTACAGGTCACAATCCAAGGAACTAACATTTGATTTCAATTTCACAGACAAGCTGCATAAAGATCCTTCGAAGAAGACGGGGTGCTCATGTTCAATCTTGTAGTTCCAACTTGTAAGTGAATGAAATTGCTGAGGTTCTTAAGCTGATGTTGTTTCCTAGCATTCATTACATGGTTGTTGTGTTGCAGTTGAGAAACCATATATTTTTTCAGAACTCTGCATCAAGTTGTGTCGGAAAAGATTTGACTGTGTTTTAGGTTCCTTGTTTCTAGTGGTCTTGGAAACAAAAGCATGAAGGTCTGCGAGCAAAATTCACTTGGTTTTTTTCTTTGGTTTCATTCGAAAATTACTCCGTAGCTCCTCTGTTAGTTAAGTGCAAAAAGGATGATACTTGAATTGGAAAGTTCAGTTGATCAAGAAGGTTTCTTCTACCAACCAGAAAAAGAAGAAAAAAAGGAACAAAAAGGAGAAAGAGGAAAAACTAAAAGGCAGTTACAGAAAAAAAAATTATTGGTTTGTTTTGATTTTGTTGTCATTAGATTGCGTATAAAAAGATACAGAACATGACTCTCATATGACTAGTAAAGTTTGTTGGCCTTAACTTCGTCAATTTCGTTTGATTACGTTCTTGCTGCTTCTGAAATGGTACCGGTTTCTGTTTCAAATATAGTCGAGGAATGTATATTCTGTTTCATGGGAGAATTCCTGGTCAAAGAAGCATACTTCATTGCATATGCTAAAATAAACAAAATCTGTTAATAATCAAAACTCTGTTAATTGTTAACTGCAATGTCTTCCACCAGCATTTGCCTTGGCATGTCGGTGGGACCTAGAATTGAGATGTCCATTTGCGTGACTCCTGAACAACAATAATGATTGAAGCCAGTTTTGACGTAGATCAAGTTTTGATATGGATCTGCAGATAGCTAAGCATATCTGAAGTCATTTACCAACTAAATCCTGTTTAAAACAGAGCAATTCCCAGATGGCAAAAACCAACCTCAACTAGCAAATATATGCAAATGTAGCCTCAGGGGCATGTGCACATGTTCACAACTAATTACCGAAATTACAGAATGCTGCACTGTCATGACTTCAGGGAATTTGCGAGGAAAGCAAGGAAATAGGGGAACCAAATATGTTTTTCTCACTTGTTGCTGTGATTAAACAAAATTGTTTTTTGAAAAGAATATGGTTTACTATACAGTATAGTGAATTACATCGCTGAGCCCAAAAAGTCATAATGTTACTGGTATCTATACCTTATGATACTAACAACTGGGAGCAACACCCAGCAAATACAGTTTTATTTACATAAACTACAACTGTTTCTAAGTTGGTGGCATGCCTACCATGCTCTTTTATATTTGAAAATTGCACCTGTAATAACTGGTATCCTGCGAATGGCTGCCAGATACTCTACATAAATAATTTATGTGACAATCCAAGAAATGTCGACTTCTTGCTTGGTAGATGGGAGTTCTGAGACTTTGCAGACAAGAAAGTATTGAAGCTTGGCTTACTACAAGGAATGGTCTCCAAGCGAGGCTGATGAGGATCTATTTAAGTGTAGGGTCTTCTTGGATGCCCGGACATTCTTAAGAGTCATCATGAGTTTCTGTCTTTCCCCTTCAACCTCTGCAAATTGAAGGCTTAGCTGAGAGTAGCGATCGTGCATCTCTTTCAGCTCGGATTCCACAGCTGTACACCTTCCCTTCACTTCCAGCATGTCTTTAATCAACTCGTTTATATCTCTAAAACTTTTGAACACTGCTTCCTCATCATTGTGTTGTTTCAAGAAAGAACTGCAGCATAGGAGATTTTTCACATTTATGAGATGTTTTTGTTCAGTTAACAATTTAGATTAAAACAATGCCAGTAGAATTTCCAGCACACTGAATTTTCTGTCTCCTACCAATGCCAGTAGAATTCAAGTTTGACAGGGCTTTTCATAGCTATACTTGATGACATACCTCTGAAAATTGATGCTTGATCTCTTCTTTGCCTGCAGAGCTTCAGCAAGCTCAATTTCTAATGCAAGTACCCTTTCTAAAGCATTTCCACTCCCTGAAATTTCATTAAACAAGGGGAACATGCTTCCTAGTTCTTCATTGACCTGAGCAAACAAACGAAATTAAGAGTCCAGATGAAGGAACTACTGTGCGCTAGTAGTGTACAGAAGAATTTTATTACCTTTTCCAACTGCACAAGTTCTCTTTGTAGAGCAGGAAATTTTTGCTGAAAATCATGATCATCTTCCAGAAATGAATTCTCATTTTTCATCCTCTCCAACTACATGGAAAACACAAATAAAGATTAGCTTGCCACTAGACAGGATCCTTGCAAATTTTATATCTGGACCTAAAAGTAGTAATTGATATTTCCTTATGATGCCAAACCATATTGGACAGATGAGTGATCTAAATGCATCTTCTCACATCTCTTGAGAGTGTAAACATGCATACCTCATTACTTAAGTGGTCCATGCTAGATTTCAAACTTTCAGCTCTAAAATGATCATTGATAAGAGCTAAATGCTTCATGTCACTGTTCAGCAACTTCTCTTGATTTAGGAGCTTGGAATTCTGAATCCCGTTCACACCACCAGATACAAGATCCTGATAATAATTATACAAATAAATAATCAGAGACCAATCTCTTCAATGTGCTGAATATGCAAAACAGAAGTTGAGGTTTGAAAAACTTTTAGGATTCTTATCACTAATGTAGGATAAGCTTCAGCTAATCAAAAATGACTAATCAATAATGCTCGAAGTACAAACAAGCATAATAAAAGATTTTGCTGGCAGTTGCTAGAGGTAACACTTGAAAAGGCTTTTGAACAATCTGAGAAGATAAGAGTGCCAACAAAAGAGGAAATGTGGATATATCATTATGGTCATATAATTTTCCATCATTTTATTTGCTTCTACTTATTCAATTATGTTTTTCAATTTCTCATTGTGAACGTTATAAAAGATTAGATGGATGGAGTTAAGACTTCGGAATTCAGATGTTCAAAGACAGAAGTAAAGGCTTAATTTAAGATGATATGCAATATAAGGATCTTAAATGTAGAAGAAAGAGCGAAAGCAAGATCAAACATATTCTCATGTAGATATAGAACACTAATTAGCCACTGTTCAATCTAGGAAATTGGACAAGAAAAAAATTGTATAATAAATTGATAACCTTTTGATGAATGCTACGACACAAACCAAACTTTAAGATACTATAAAATAGATTCACATATGCTACAAGTAGTTTTTACCACCAAGTTGCACAAATAAAAAATAATTTGCTGGAGCAAAATCGATTTAGAATTCATAATGTGGAAAACTTTTATTACCTGCTCAACTTGCACATACATTGGTGTGGTTATTTGGTCAATTTCGTTAATGGAAGCTGGGTATGCATGTTTGGCTTCTTCAAAATTTCTTGAAGTATCTTGTTCCGAGAACTTCAGACTCGGGTCTCCAGTTGGACCATTGGTAGGAACTAAATTTAAACTTTCTCTTCCATAGCTTAAAGTATTAGCTATGGAATTTTCCATGCAGACATTTCTGGGAAGTGACTCATCAGAAGATAGGCAATACGCTTTGCAGGACTCACCATTTCCTTCCTCCTGAATATTCATGGCCAATTTGGAATTCTCTGCTAACTCTTTCATCTGTGCAAGTTCAACTGCAATTTTAGACTTTTCCTCATTGCATTCTTGCAAATAAGCTTCAAGTTTATGCTTTTCTTCTTTGCAGCACTCTAAGCTTATTAATGAACATTCCATCTCAGCCTTCATCAAGTCATAGGCAGACATTTTCTCACGCTTTTCTGAAAGTACTGCTTGTAACTCAGCCTCCAATTCCAAGATCTTCATTCCCAGTTCTTCATTTTTCTTCAGATGACAAGCTTCAGATTTCTTCCTATTCTCGATCTCATCAATGGCATCTTGCAACTTCCACAACATTTCTTCACTATGCTTTTTGGAGATAGATAGCTGCTGTTTCAGTTCTTGTAGCCTTGTCTCATATTGCTCTTTGATAAATGCAATTCTCAAGGACTCTTGCATGGCAACTGGTGGTGCTTCAAGTTCTCTTTTTTCATGAGCCTGGATATACTCCGCATCAGCTTTATCTTTAAGTTCCTTCAAATGGACAGACAAACTTCTAAATTCTTCTGTCTTCAAAATCTGTTCAGCAAGCTTCTGGTTTAGCTCATTACACTGTTTTTTCAGCATTATTAACTCATTAGAATATCCTTCCATTGCAATTATATGATCCTGTTGTTCTTCCAATTTGGCCTTGAGTACTAGAGCTTTTACTTCTAGTTCTTCCTTGGAGAAGACCAGATTATCAATCTCCTCTTCAGAACTCACTAAAGTGTGCTTCAGCTTTTCAGTCTCCGTAGAATGGTCATTTTTATCCTCAGAGTTATTAAGCCTAACATTTTGAGCTTGACACTTGTGCTCCTCAAGGTCAGCTGTTGTAACTCTGTTTGCCTCAAGAAGTAACCTATTTTCAGCCATAGATGCCTCTATCTCAGATCTTGTGGAATTAAGACTTCTCAATAACTTGGTATTCTCTTCAATGTACTGGGCTTCACTGGCAAGACAACGATTTAGGGTTGTTTCTACATCATGATGCTTCTTCTGAAGTTCAGCAAGATGCCTACCTGAGGTGCAAAGCTGCAAAACCAGCTCTTCAGCCCTGCCTTCATACTGAGTTTTTGTGAAAATCAGTCTGATATCTGCAGCTACTAAAAGTTCATGCATTTCGCATAACTCATTTTCAAGTCCAGAAATTGAAGAACACTCTTCTCGAGCACTTTTAAGACTGTCCTCATAGTGAGACAAAAGGATGCAAACTCTCGATTGCTCTGATTCTAAATCTGACATTGATTTCTCGAGATGAAGCAACTGACAATCCTTCTCATTTAATTGTGAAGTCTGTTCTGTAATTTTACTCTCTAAACTCTCTCTGAAGGTTCTCTCAGAATGCAATTGATTACTTAGAGATTGTAAACTTTCTCTGAGACTGTTCAGCTCTGAAGCAAGCTGGGCAGAGTCATCAGTTTTATCCCGTGAAGACACCATCAAAGCTTGGTTTTCATTGTGCAGAGATAGCAAACGTTCTCTCAAACTGTCTAAATCTGATTTAAGCTTGGACGATTCCTCAGATTTTTCCTGTGAGCATACCGCTAAAACTTGATTTTCGTCATGCATGGAATGCAAACTCTCTTTCAAGATTTTTATCTCTGAAGCAAGCTTGGCAGTTTCCTTAGTTTTATCCTGTGAAGAAGCCACCAAAGCTTGATTTTCATCACGTAGAGACTGCACACTTTCTTTCAAATGGTTTAGCTCCAATGCAAGATGCACACATTCCTCCATCTTTTCCTGTGAAGACGTAATCAGAGCTTTTTTCTCATCATGCAGAGACTGCAAATGTTCTTTCAAAGCGCTAAGCTCCAGTTCAAGTTCAGCAGATTCCTCGGTTTTACACTGCAAGGATGCCATCAAAACTTGGTTTTCATCATGCAAAGATTGCAAACTTTCTTTCAAAATCTTTAGCTCTGATGCAAGATTCTTGGATTCCTCCATCGACACAGTCAAAGCTTCTTTTTCATCACGCAGAGACTGCAAAGTTTCTTTCATACTATTAAGCTCCACAGCAAGTTTGGCAGATTCCTCTGTCTTATCTTCCAATGATGTCATCAAAGTTTTGTTTTCATCATGCAGAGATTGCAAACTTTCTTTCAAACTCTTCAGTTCTGATGCAAGCTTGGTGCATTCATCATTTTTATCCTGTAAAGATGCCATTAAAGTGTCATTTTCCGTAGTAAGTTCCCCAGCCATCAGAGTCTCTAAAGCCAAGATTTCACGAGCAAGGTGCCCATTCTTAGAATTAAGTTCCTGTAGCCCAACTTCTAAATGATCAAGATCAGAGAAAAGCTCATTGTGCTGCTCTGCATATTTTTCTTCAAGTTCAGAGGTAACCTTGAATCTATTGCTGAAAGCCTCAATATCTAACTGAAGCTTCTGCAACATGACATTTGACACATCTAATTTACCCATCATACTCTTTATTTCATGTTCAAACTTCTGTTTCATCAATGTTATCTCAGATTCAGCTGCAGTAAAGGACTGGAGCGCAGCATCTCTTTGTTGCATAAGACATTCCTTCTCTTCTACCAGTTGGAGAATCTTTTCACATGCATTACGCTGAACCTCTTCCAGTTGCATCAGAACATTTGTTAAGCCCTGACTGTCAGATTCATTCAAGGAAGGCATTGCACTGACATTTTTTACATATGACGCCAATAAGTTTTGCAATTTATTTTGCAGAAAGTTAACAATATTCTGCAGGTTTTCGTTCTGACAAACCTGCTCATCAAACTTAATTTTGACAGTTTTCAACTCATCCTGCAAAGAGAAGTTTTCATTTTGAAGAATCCCATTGTCTAGGGTTTTCTTTTCCAATAAGAATTCCAACTCTGCTTTCTCTGCAAAACAGGCCTCATATTTGTTCTCATAACCCTTGTACTGCATCACTTGAGATTCCCATTCACTAATCTTCTGCACAAGAAGATCATTTTCATGGATTACATCATGCAAATTAGCTTCCAATTGTTGTTTCTGTAGAGCCATATCATTGCACTTTGCAATACAGGTAGCATTGTACTCATGGAGGGATCGAACATCACCAACTGCAGTCTGCAGCTTTTGCACCAGAAACTCCTTCGACTCAGCTGAAAACTCTAGTTGCTGTGTAAGCTCATTCACTTTCCCTTTCATGAGTTGAACATCTTCGCTTGCACCAAGTAAAGTTTCCTGGAGAGCCTTTGAAAACACATCCAAGTAGATATTCACAAAATGCATTTCACTAACTTCTTCTTCAACCTTCCTATAAAGGCCTTCCTGCAAGTGGAGTGATCTTTTCAAATCATCTAAAAGAATATCTCCACCCAATTGCTGTTTCCTTATCCCAACTGATTGATTTTGAAACTGCAAGAATTTTGCTGCATGTTCCCCAGAATCAGATCCCCGAGCACTTGGTTGTGAAAAATCAACAAAGGCTTCCCTGATCAGGTTCTCGTTTGTCTCATGCATAGATAATACCTGGAAAGAAAGAAGTTCAAGGTCCTTCTGTAACTGGTCCACGGCAATAGAATAATTTAAGCGTGCCCTTTTGAGTGCAGCTTCTGCAGTTATAGCCCTTCTTTCAAGCTCTTTGTTGAGGGAATCCATATCTTGTTTGTCTTCCGCAAGTCTTAATATTTGGTCATTCAGGTCTTGACGCATGGACTCCATCTCAGCCTTAGTGGATGAGACTGTATACAAGCAAGTTGAGTGCTCATTTCTGAGATTTTGCAACTCCTGCAACATCCGACTTTGATTTTCCTCGAGTTCTTGGACAAGGGCTTCATAGTAACACTCCATCTGGTCCATTTTCTTCGCAAGTCCCTCCCGGTCTGCTTTTGACTCATCCAACTCTCTCAGAAGTTCAAAAATTTTACTTTTCATTGCATTGATAGTATCTACAGTATCAGATTCATGAGAGATCAGACCAGGTATGTTAAGAGAATGAAGCATGCGAAGCTCGGACTGATACAAGTCCACGTCAAACCCTGTTCCAGCTGCAAACTGGCCATTTTTATGTAAACTCGTTTCTCTTATCTCTTTCAGACTTGCTCCTTCAGAGGAAATCAAGTTGGGACTGGAAACTGCTAGTCCACTTGCTTGTTTAAGATTCTGCATGATGTCAAGCAATGCTTCTATGTCTGAGTGAAGGAATCTTAAGTCCCTTTCATCATAACCACCAAAGCGTGCCTTGTTTTGAATGTCTCTTATATTATCCTCCATGGCTAAAAGCTCCTTTAGCCATTTGAGCTGTAAATCTTGAATTATGTGATCCTGTTCTGCTACAATAGCTTCTCTGGTGCTAAATGGAGGGCATAATTTTGAAAGCGTTAGCTGTTCAAGATCATCTTTCAACTTTGAACACTCAGATTTCAGCGCAGATACCTCTTTTACCAGCTCTTGTCCAGAATCAATCTCAGCAGCAAGTTGCATAGCAAATTTTTGTGCTTCTTGACCTATTTCATTGGCATGACTCTGTAACGAGCTTACCTCCAATTTAAGCTCATGAATTGATGACTCAGCTACTTCCAAGCTTCCTCTAAGCCTGCTGTTCTCTTCATAAGTAGCTGCCAAGTCATTATCCACAGAATAGTCTGAACTCCAGCCATGAACCCAATCATTGGTCCCCTGCACTGAAAACTGATGATCAGAAGGATCCCCTTTCTGCAGTCCAGCTAAATCACCAGAGACAGTACTCCTAAGGCTATCAATTTCATGCGTGCTGGAGGTTTCATGCTTCTCAGCATATAAACTTTCTGAAGTATTGGAAGACCCATCAAATCCGACAGCTGAATCTGCATATTCTTCATTCGTTCGCACCTCTTCCTCAACTGAAGCAAGATCTTTGGATTTTTCTTTGAATCTGACTCTTTGATTTACCTGTAATCAGGAAAAAAGTAAGAAAAAAGAGTGAGAGAAAGCAAATATCAAGTCATCATATCACATTCATCATTTTAAGCAATTCAAACTTTCCTAAAGCACTCACACTCTTCTTTTACTCCGATAGAAATAAGTAACAATCACCCAATGATTTAGATATTGGAAAGCAAAAGAATAAGCATTTCACTACTTATTATGATGTGGGAAAATATATAGACTCTCAAAAACAAGTAAAATTGCTTTATCTTTTCATTTTCATCTATTTGTTCTTTGATAATTATATTTCACAGAGACAGATTATGATATCGTTACAAGAGAATCCTCTAATTCAACTTCACTAGAATAGTACCCGAGATCAATAAGTAGAATCTTTCTGGAGAAAGGAGCTTTTTTACCCAGCTTTTCCTTTTTCTATTTGATAAGGAACAAAACAAAGTAACAAAAGCATGTCTCTTAGCCACATTGGTCATTGACAGTCTTTTTTATATTCCTTGTTCTTCATTCCTTAATGAATTGCATTTCAACTAAGATACATAAAGAATCAAATCCAAATAGTAGATCCTCCAGTAGCAGAAGTGTTTGTTTGACAACTTTTGAAAATATCAAATTCCATAGCAGAGGTCTGACGAGATGTTGCTGCTGCAGATTGTTGAAAGAAGAAGAAATAAAAGGTCCACCTTTTTCATCCGGTAGAGCAAAGATTTTGACCATACTTCTTAAGTGAACTAATTTATGCAATGGATCAATTGTTTTTGTGATGCAGCATATGGCATCATAGAGGGCCTAATTTTTCTTTCTTCTTTCTTACATAACAAAATACATATGAAAATATTTTGCTTGTTGAAGAGTAACACTTCTACTGTATCATGCATCAGACAGATACACTCATCAAAATAGATCTTCCTAAGATCAGATAAGTGACCAAGATAAGGCAGAAAATGCCAGGGAAATTTAGACTTGTAATTTTGAAGGGAAGAAATGTACAAAGCAAGAACTTGCATGCTATAGTTCAGCAGGTGTTCAGTGCAAATTGAAAGAAATCAGTTATCATGTGTAATGAGAAGGATATCCAAACTAAACACAACATCAAACCTTAGCTATATGATCACTGACAGTCTCTTCTGATGAAGATAATTTTCGACCAGAGGATTCATCAGGAGTATTTTGGTCATTCTGCAATCCCCTTTCTCTAATTTCTCTCTGCTGCTCAAACTCTCTGAAAGTAAATATAACCACATATAAATGGGATGAAATGCATGAAAAATGAAATTCACATCATCTAAACTAATACCTGAAACCAGTTTTCGAAGTAAGCAGCTGCACAGTGACCTGTGAATTGGTGACAACCATTAGTACATCCATGGGAGTAATACATTATAAATCTAACTATAGCAAACAAGCAAGAATGCTATTGGTGACAAACATGATTATGCCCATTAGATCTTATTGGTATATGCTCCATCCAGTAGCAACAATAAATTAACTTGCTAAAGCATCATACAAAAGAAATAATAGAATTAAGAAATGCTCACATGTAATATAGTGCCAGAATCACATCCATGGAGGGGCAGAGCAATAGCAGAAGGTTTCAATGCATCAGCATAATCAGCAAGATTAATCACAGCCTCACCAAGTATATTAGACCGTGATGAACCCTGATGCATGTTAATCAGATTCAGGTCAAAGACAATTAACTTGGAGTGCATTAAGAGCAAAGGTGACAATAGACTATGGGAAAAGTCGTCCTTGGAACCAGGAAATTGAGATGTTACCATTGCGACAAGAAACTTGTAGAGCTTTTCGTCGTACTGCTTGGTTTTATTATCTTGGAGAAGTCTAGTAGTCTCATAGATGGGATCTGCCCACTTACAGGTCCCATTTCTCACATTGGCTTTGGTCGTCTTTGCTGTTGCTTTTACAGAATCACTAGGAATGAAAGATATAAAAAGTTTATCCCATCCTGATTGTGGAATCTGTATATCACAGAATGAATGTATATCCAGTCATTGTAGAGTTCAATAAGGAATCTGATGAAGCTATTTAAATAGAAGCACTAATGATTATAATTCATCAATCAAGTCTTCTCAACCATACACAGCTTACAGCACTATTGAGAGTACACTTACATGTGTAGCATGGAATTGTAGCCGGAAGACCACTTTAACTTTTGTTTTCTCAAGCTTCCATCTAGTGATCCTCGACATTACTAAAAAATCAATCTATCATCAGCTGCATAACAGTTTGGAACCGGATAAGATCCTCCAGAATCACTTTGAAAAGAAATAAGGCATCTGCTTTAATTAAACCATTAACCAATGTTATAAGCTAGTACAACAGCAAAGGAACATGCAGGAGAAAACAAAAAAATTCATATATGAAATTGCGAAACTTTGATATCCTATAAATCTCTCAACCATAATTATAACACAATTAGAAACAGCAATCCCTTACAAGATGCAAACACAAAATCCTCAAGCTAGCCACTATCACTAACATACAGTTAAACTAAAACATACTAGATAACAGAAGATCCAACAACTTATATTCAATTCCTTTGGTCCACTTTCTCCGAAACCAAAAGGAAAGTGAAAAAAAGAAAAATGCAAGTCAAAATTTCAGCTTAAAAAAAAAGAAAAAAAAGGGAAAACAAAGCTAATTGTGGCTCATACCTGCTTCAACGAAGCATATACCTTATCAAAACGCCAAAACCAGAAAAAAAAAAATATCAAAATGCACTCATCAAAGAGAACACCCCCGATCCAAACCCTACAAGAACACAGTGATTTCAAAATTTTCAGGTCCATAAAACGACAAACAAACACCAAAAGACGCACCATCTTCACAATAAAAAGGTCAAAAAAGACTGACACAAGAGTAAAGAGTAAGAGACAATCCAAAAACCAAATGTCTAGCTAAATGTAGAAAAGAATGCACCCGATAAAGTCTATCAAAAGAAAGCTCTTTAAAAAAGATCCAAGAAAAACAAATAAATTAGAGTAAAGAAAAAAGAAAACAAAAATAAACAGTATACATTCAATTTACCAGATTCTGATATTCGAACTTTGGAGCATAGAAAAACAAACAAAACAGCAAAACAAGTATAGTAATGCAGAACCCAGAAAATGTAGGGAAGTAAACTTGAGATTTAGATCATTAGAATTTAATATTTTGAAATAAAGTTTAAAACTTTATTAATTAGTATTCCTTAACTGTTTAAAACAAATAATAAAATGAGATTAGGTACCAATTGACGGATCTGCAGGTGCTTAATGTGGAAGCGAGAGCAGGGAATCTTTACAGAGAAGGTTCTTACTTTGTCCAGCTTCAGACACAGAGAAAGAGAGATTTGAGTGTGTGCTGTTTGTGTTTGTTGGGATTTTTGGGAGAGAGTGAGAGTGCGAGACAGCGATATTAATAGCGTGAACAAGCAGTAAATCAGAGCATAAAATTGTGATTAGATGAAGATTAAGTAAATAATTATGGGGTGGAAATGTAATTAGAACGCTTAATTAATAATCAATAAGGTGAGATGGAGATGGGCTTGAAGGTGAAATACTAGCTTCCTGGTTATGAAAATTTTGATTTAGAATTAACACTTAATTAAATAAATAATATTATTATGGTATTAAAAAAATAAAAGACATCGAATGGAAAATTTTTTTTTGAAGGGACATCTAATGGATAATTTTATAGCAACAATTCCTTTTTTTTTTAATTAAAAGTTTCAAATTCCGAATTTAAGCATTGAGCATGGATATTTTTAAATTTTTTAGAGGAGATTTTGTCCGTCACAATGTAAATTCAATCTAATCGATTTTGTAAAATATAGATTTCAAATTCTAGATGGTTCAGAAAAAAAAAAAAAAAAAAAAAAAAAAAAAAATACTAGCTTTCCTGGTTATGAAAATTTGATTTAGAATTAACACTTAATTAAATAAATAATATTATTTGGTATTAAAAAATAAAAGACATCGAATGGAAAAATTTTTTTTTTGGAGGGACAATCCTAATGGAATAATTTTTTATAGCAACAATTCCTTTTTTTTTAATTAAAAAGTTTTCAAATTAACCGATATTTAAGCATTGAGGCATGGATATTTTTAAATTTTTTAAGAGGAGATTTTGTCCGTCACAATGTAAAAAATTCAAATCATAATCGATTTTGTAAAATATAGATTTCAAATTCTAGCATGGTTCAGGAAAAAAAAAAAAAGAAAAAAAAAAAGAGAGAAAAGGAGACATCCAAAAAAAAAAAAAAAAAGAAAAAAAAAAAAAGAGAGAAAAGGAGACATCCCGCCAAAGAGAAGCCTGTAATTGTCACCTTGTGATTATTGATTAATTATTATTATTATTATTATGTAATTTAACTTAATTGACAATGATGGAACATGGATTTTACTTTATGGTCCATGCCTCATATCTAAATTACTAAAATGACCTCTCTTTGTTATGGTATTTGACTACAGGACCACTAGTGTTTTTATATGACAAAGGGGTCTTTAATTGACAAATCAACTGACTGGTTTCCACTTAGAAGATTGTTACAAATTTTGTGATTGGATTTTTCTGACCATTGCAGAATCCTTACCAACGATTAATGTGGATTCTTATAAAAAAAAAATTATAATAATAAAATTTTTAATTATTCAAAAATATTTTCATATCAATTTATACATTTACTAAAATTAATTTCCTTTTATTCGAAATTCAAAAAAGAAAAATATAAGCTCAGCCTATATATTCAAACTACATATATTTCATAAAATTGAAATTTTAGAGACTCTTCATTCCATGTCTAATTTGACTTTGGTATAAATTAGTAAAATATAATAAACTTGATTAAGCAATGACTTTTGTTTAATTTTCTTTTTTAATGTTATCCTTATATATTTGTTTTCTAACCTAAGAACATGGAAAATCCATAGTTTAATTAGTTTCTATTTTAATATTTGGTTAATCACAAGAATAATATATTTATTGATAAAATAGGAAAGAATAGAAAATTGTAAAAATGAATTTTTTTTTTCTAAAGAAAAATATCGGGTTATAATTCGAGACAAATTGAAAAAGAAACATGAGCATATTTATGGAAACAGAGGGAATAGAAACAAACATTTTTGAAAGATAAAATTATAAAATTTTTCTATATGAAAAAATTGTATATAATTTCTAAAAAAAAAAAACTAAATACATAAATTTGCCCCTTTACTTTTTCACAAAAAATTAATCACGCCCTCAACTTTTTATTTTAACTCATTAAATATTTTCATTTATAAAATTATATCTATTTAACACTTTAATTTTCAAAATAATTCTATTAAATGTCACGGTGTTATAAACTAAATAAACTAAACACTAGTTGAAAAATATGAAAAATATTATTTAAAACTATATTAATCACATATCATTAACATTTTTTTTTATATAAAAAGGAAAAATATTGAAACGTTGTTGTTTATGTGGATAAACATATAATTTTATCAAAATTCATAAATTTTCAGTTAAAATAAGTCCCACATGTTTGAAGTGCAACAAAAATTTTGGCTAAGAATACATTTTTAGATTTAGGTATTTAGCCATTTCTAGAACAATGTAAATGCAAGATTGAGCATTTTGTCACTTACAATTTCTAAACAACATATAGCAAGAAAATTTTAATTTAATTTATGACAATATTTATATTATATTGTGGGTGTAATATCTCAATGCAGCAAAGCGATTCTAAAAGACGAGTAAAGCAAAACTCTTAATTAGCTTCTAGAATGACAGAATAGTTAGAGTAATGGAATGCAAATGCAAGAATGAATCATATCACATATGAAAATAAGAAAACTATATCATCAAATGTGTCTTTTGGTGGAATGACTGAAAGAGTTGGAAGAACTTCATGGTTAAATGTGCTCACATCCAAGGAAGTTTTCATTCCACCTGCGAGACTAAAAACGAGCAAACAAATCTCTCTTATTTTAATTTTTTATCAAATTGGTAAAAGAATTTCAATAACACTAGCTAAATTAAATTATTTTTTGAAAATATTTTTTAAAAAATAAAATTTATTTTTCCTTGCCACAAACGAAAATCTAAATTAGGGTAGCATCTTGGGCAGAATGTACGAGACAAAAGTGATGAAACTATAGCCTTCTCCTTGTGAGATAGTGTACTATGCCTTGAAAAAAAAGAACTTGACACAAATGGTTAAAAGTTGTAGCTATAGAGCCAATTTAAAGTAGCCAAAAAAAAAGAATGAAGTGGGTATTTGAAGAAGAGTCTTATTTTTCAAGAATTGAAGGATTTGGGCATGGAAAATTTTATAAATGGGGTCTACAATTCAAAATGACCTTTATGTTGTGGACACCAAAGCACATGGGTTTGGTCTGGTTTGAGTAGGGAGAGGCATTATCTTCTATTTATCTTTCAAATCTAGTGATTCTTCTACTCATATGGGTATATCATATCTAACCCTTCGCTTTCTTTATCACGTGATAAAGTCTTTCTCGTCACGTGCACCCTTACACGTGGCAACATTTTAGGATATTCTTGAGCATTCCAATGACTTTTTTTTTTTTGTAAAAATTAATGAATGAAAGGGAAAAAATTATGCCAACAAAGGTGATTACTTATTAATGACTCGAAAGAGTTCTTGTCTTAAGAAAGATCAATTTTTTCTTTCCTTCTTTCTTTCTTCTTTTTTTTTTTTTTTTTTTTTTTTTTTTTTCTTTCCTTCTTTCTTTCTTCTTTTTTTTTTTTTTTTTTATTTTTTTTTTTTTTTTTTTTTTATTTTTTTTTATGATTTGATATTTCATATGATGATCTTATGGGTCCTGCCCATTTGCCTAAGCAATCTTTCAATTAAGAAAGTAATTTTGACTAAAGAATAATTCAACTACTCCACTTTTAGATCCTCCAAAAACAAATTTTATTGCTCCTTAAGTGCCCTTCTTCAGCTTAGTTAATTACAATGGAGAATAAATTGTACATATAATTAAATTAAAAGTTCAACTTAATAAATCACAAAATAAACACTTAGATCTTATTACTAATTCAATAAAAAAATTAAAACTGAACATTAAAATAAAAAATTACTATTGACGCAAAAGAAAAAAATCTTGATATATCCCAATTTTAAGTTTAATATATTTTATTTACTGGAAAATCCAACAAGCTGAAAACACATTGTATATCAGATAATAGAGGTATCCCTTGATTCTTTTTATTCATCAAATTATCAAGAATTCTCGAACTTGAAATCTCTCGCTCCCCCATATATGCAGGGGAACTAATCAAACCATTCATATTTAGCTTTAAATCTAACATTTTATTCAAATATTTAACCTTTTTCTCATAAATAAATGACTTTGGCATGTGATTAGATTTATTTTAGTGTTTAAAAAAATTAAAGAAAAGAGATTATGTTAAAGATTTGTCCCCCTTTCGTCATGATCTCCGGCCCAATGGTTGATGGGCCAGTATCCTTAAAATATTTGCCTGTGCCTACATGGTACAGCCCAAACAATACTTAAAATAAGCAAAGTATAAAAAGTGCCCCAATAAATAAATAAGTAATGGGGCACTCTACTCATCTACTGGATCTATCTTGGGCTTTTGCAGTAGAATATTAATATTTAAACAAAAAAGGTTTTTCACTTTTGGATGATTTGGGCCCAAATCCTTTTGGATAGGATTACCACTTTTCAAGAAAAATTGCATATCCCTAATTTCTCAATGTTGTGAAATTATCATCTAAACCACAAAAAAAAACAAAAGGCATACTTAAACTACACATTCAATCAATATGACAAAAACATATAACAAAAAATAAGAATTAAATTTTATCGAATATTATACATAATATATATTACAAAATAAAAACAACAAAATACTGATTTCTTCCAAGATATCCATAAACCTCACTCTAAGATTCCAGGGGAAAAAGAAAAAAAAAAAAAAGAATTATGATATATATAATATAAAACATAACTCTTCTTCAACCTATGATATATACAGGCTACAAGTAAGGTTGCTTTTCTTGATGATCCAAAGATGAGATTTTGGCAGAATGGCCTTTCTTGAAAACTCCAAAAAAGCAACCAGAGCCAGTATTATGGCCTTTCTTGAAAACTCCAAAAAAGCAACCAGAGCCAGTATTGCAATTAGCAGACTTGTCTTCTTCTTTCTCATTAGCTACCTTTCCTTTCTGTGCTGCTTCTAATTTCTTCATTTTTTCTTGATGAAGCTTTCTCATGGTGTAAGCTTCTGCTAAAGTAGACCCTCCAAAAGCAGCCCCTGTTGCCATATCTTCAAGAAATCAAATCAAATATATAAAAGAAACTCACTTGTCTGAAACTCAAGATAGCGTTGGTGGAAATGAAGATGATTACTTCTACAGGCTTCCTCAACTCTCTATATATAATGTGAACTTGGCCAAGATTT